GGGCTTGTGGACGAAATGGGTTTGGGCTGGAAAACGATTCCACTTGGTCAGTGCAGGGGCCTAGTCCCACTAGCATCGCAAAGTTGTAGGTAGGAACGCGGTGCGGCACGTAAGCTCAGGAGGAAACGTTTGTGTGATGCACAGAAGCGGCAGACTGCTGTACATCTGAAGGCTTCTGTGAAACCACGCGAGAAACAACATAGACGCGCCAAAACTAACCAGATGATGCCGTCAACAAGAAAACGAGCTGCTCCTTAACACTGGTAATGCAGACGCAATTTTGTTCCCCTCATTCTCGGAGCGTGTAGTTAGTTTGTGATGAGCCCAGGCCCGTACATCGCGGCTTTCCGTACCCTTGAGGATAAACCCTCCGAAAGCCCCGAAGTGCGAATACGAATGACGGGGTTTTTTTGCTTTCGTTTTTGTTTTTCGCTTTTCTTGAAACGGCCTTTCTTTTTCTTTGAACTGGTATCTGGGAATAAGTTTCGCGCGGCCGAATAGCGGGCGCGTCGAATTTCAAGAAACGGTTAGGACTTAGTTGGGAAGGAAATGGGGAATTTCGGATTTTTGCATGCGCAGCTGCTTTTTCAAATTTTCGCGCGCCACGCAAACTCTTTCTCTTGCTTCGCATCCCCGCGCCATCTTCCTTTCTTGCTGCGGGCGCTTTCTTCGTGCAAGGACTCTTCGTCTTCCTTTATGCAAGCTCGATCCCCGCCTTGCCTTTGGCAGAGAACGATTGGCCGAGTAGTTGGGATGCTCGGATCAATGTGGAAGGCGCGAAATGCGCGCACCACTTGAACGATCACCCCAATCACGCAGGATCAAACGACTTCTCGGCATCGACCCTTCTCGAACCCCAGCCCTTCCTTTGTCCTCTTCATCTACAACCCCATGCTTCCCTCCGCCTCCTGCGCTATAAATTCTCGCAACCCACTCCTCCCCTCCTCTTTGATCTCGGCTGCAATGCTGCGCGAGCTATGCGCGAGCTATGCGCGAGGTCCGCGACGCCGAACAGGCTTGACGAGCCCATGTGACGGGCGGAGTGACGACGCGGGTCGGGCTTAGCAGTAGACTCGCGGTGTAACAGTCGAAGGGACAGCGCAGTGGTGGAGATCAGACGCCGGCAGCATCAGGGCCTTCTGGCTATGGTTCTCGGTGGTCTTGATGGAGTGGGGTTGCGCCTAGTTGGGCCAGCTTTGTGAAGACGTTTTTGGTACAAGGAGGACCCGCTTTTATCTCCATTCCTGCTTTGTCCACGAATGGTGTGTGTGAGGCCCCGAGTGGCGGGACCTTGTCGTATGCATGTGTGGTGTGAAAGTCCATGG